ATCTCTGTGAAATGGAGGGCAGCCTGGTCTACATAGTGAGTTCCAGGCCAGCTAGGGCTACAGGGAGACCCTGTCTCAAAACGACAAAAAAAATAAATAAATAAATAAAATAAAATAAAATAAAATAAAATAAAATAAAATAAAATAAAATAAAATAAAATAGCAAAGCTAATGAAGAATGTGCAGAACCAAGAGAGACGAGTTCACACATGCTCCGCCCTGGAGTCCCAGTGTCCAGGATGAAGCACACACTCGACAATTTGGATTAGATGCTGTGGACAACTCAGGAACAGTACAGGGCTTTAAAGTGACAGTCATATAGCAGAAACAAGTCTGTAAGAAGGATGCCAGTCAGGAAGCAGCTGGACAATCTCCATCAGAACCCCTCCCATCTCATCAGACACCCCATCTAGGGTGAGGACCCTAGAAAGTGAAAAAATTCAAAAATATTTTAAAGCAGGGCTGGAGGTGGTTCAACGGTTAAAAGCACTGGTTGCTCTGCAGGGAACCAGGTTTGGTTCCCAGCACCCACATGGCAGCTGACAACCTTCTGTAACTTTAGTTCTGGGGGATCCAATTGCATGCACACGGTACACTTACATACATACAAGCAAAACACTCATACACATAAAATTAAAAAACTAAAAGTTCAAGGCAAGCTCACATGAGACCCTGATGAAAAAAAAAATTTTTTTGAAGCAATGGGGCTTTCATGTTAAAGTGAACACATGGAAAGAAAAGAATTGGACCTGCCCACTTTTTGCATGGGTGGACGGGTAGAAGGTCACAAGGCTACTATGATTGAAGACTACTTGGGGCAGACTAAGTCAGCTTACCAGTTTGTTTAGATTCAGGCCCCTGGAATTTGGGTCCCGTCCAATGGCCCAGAGTAGGCAGTCAACATCTGGAATCACCGTCACAGTAGGCTTCCTACCAGGAACTGCAGTAACCACAGAAAGTTCCAGGCCAGAAGGTGTCTTTTTAACTTCTTTAACCTATTTGCAAATAAAATGTGTGAAATATGTGTGGTAAGTGAGCGGGGAGAAGGTAGCAGGGAAGAAAAGAATGAGGAAACTATCATTTTCCCCAGTACTGGAGACTGGAACCCAGGATTTCACTCATGGCAGGCAAGTGCTCCATCACCCAGCTCTCTACCCAGTCCTTTTCACTTATTTTGAGACAGGGTCTCACAAAGCCCAGGCTGGCCTTGATGTTACTCTGTAGCTCAGACCTGTCTCAGCCTCCCAAGCAGCTGAGATTTTAGAACTGAGCCACTAGGCCTGGTAAAACCAGAATTTTTGTTGGGTTTGGTTTTTGAGTCTTACTCTGTAATCCAGGCTGACCTACAGTTCAAAGGAGCTGGGCGTGGGGGTGCATGCCTTTAGTCCCAGCACTGGGGAGGCAGAGGCAGGCGACCTCTGTGAGTTCAAGGCCAGTCTGGGGGTCAGCGTACATAGTGAGTTCCAGGCCAGCTGGGGCTGCAAGGAGATTCTGTTTCAAA